CGGGGCTGCCGTAGCTTTGCGCTTTGAGGAAACGTAACTTAGGTCACCGACCTTTCGTTATACTTAGAACAAGTACGAGTTAGCGGATCGCAATCCGCTTACCCCAAGAGTAGTTATTGCCTTAACCCAAGACTAATTAACTCTTCCGTTTAAAATCCAAAACTGACTTTATTTTTTTTATCTGCGGCAAAGCCGCCTAATTTTAAATGCATATATTTTCCTAAATATGTTTAGTAAAATCTAAATATATGTATAACTACTGGCTATCCAGCCCCGTACCGTATTCTTGTTTGAGTGAGGTCACACCATGCCCATCTGTTGTGACACCCCCCCCTGTTAGCAGGGTATGTGTAATCCCGTTACAGTGATGATTACAGCGAACAAATTGCGAGAACGTCCTATGAATATAGCTGCCTTCAAAGCATTGAGAAAAGTTAGGCGTTTGTAGGAATGAGGCCCGAGTTGCATCTACAATGGAACAGGCTCCTTTTTTCGGCTGCTGCCTCGCTAAACTGCGTTTTTTGCCCTCTTTAATGTTAACCACTGCTCGAGAAAAAAAATAGTTCAACGAGAACGTAACTGTAATGGACTATATATAGCTTTGAATTGAAGGGACATCTGTGCACCTTGTGTTTGTATTGTTGTTATTATAACAAAGGGGGGGGTTATTGTAACGTACCCTCACATGCATATGTGGCCTCTTATATGAGGCCACAAACATTTTCGTGATACAGAATGGTGTTTCCTACATACGAATTTGTACTGGTAACGAGACCGACGTTATTTTGTGTATTTATAAATTTTGTTGGACATTATCCACGAAAGTTGAAGTTCAACTTTTCCAAAATTCATGTTCATGGACCAACATCCTGTATATTCTGAAGCTGGGATTCCACCCAGTACACTTATGACTGCATAAATCAGATTCACTGAGAATCAAGGTTTGATAGTAAAACATCCAGACGCCCCTAGGATATATTGCTTTAAGCTCGAGGAACCATAACTCATCTTAATCCAGTCGTAAATTTGCCTTCAAGCCTTATGTTGATCGTCTTACCTTCAAGTTAGGGATTTACTTTGGAAACCGCTTCCGTAGCACAAATGTTTGTGTTGTGTCTGGAAAGTTTTGTGAATAGCGCCCTTTTACAGTTACGTTCATTGTTTTTTGATATGCAACCAGAACTAAGAGCATCCCAAAGCAATAATTAAAAAAGCCAATTCGCTGGCTTGTACATCTGAATGGTGCCATATTTTAATCAAGAGAAGGCGTTGGTGTATGTTGTTGTGTTTAATCAATGATTATAAGAGCTTTTCTGGCCCTTTATTTGTTGCCAAATTGGCCAAATAGGGTTTTATCTCTTGATAAATTAAACTGGATATTCTCAACCTTTTATGAAAGACGGAATACGGGCAGCATATTTGCGTCGATGTGACATCATGCAAACAGCCAATGAACATGGGAATTTTCGCTGAGTTGAATATGCAATAATTTTTCTAATGATCGATAGTCTTTCCTATCATAATCTCACAAATAACCCAAATCCGCCCAGGAGCATATGCTGCCAATTCGAGACGAGGCGCAGCGGGAATGGAATTCGGAAAACCAGCTCATTAGCCGGATGCGGCTTTTATTTAATCCCGGCGGAGACATAGAAGATTTGCGTTGCTAAAGCTGATATAAGTCCTGAGCTTTGTGCAAGTGGACAGACAATTGATGAAAAGGAAGTGAGGTCAGCATGTTAAGTGATTGGATATCGATGATGGAGAACTGCTCCATTGCACATGAATTAATAATACGAAGACTTTTTTATAAACAGCTTTCTGAATTTCTTGGTTTGGATAAACCCGATTTTGAAGCGTGTCGACATGCGGTTATTTGAGATAATGATCATCAATTTGAAAAAGAGGCGGACGAAGTGGAGCTAGGAAAGGTAAAGTGTTTCCGGAGTATCCAGTCGACATTTATGAAGAATCCGTAAGAGCTTCAATAGACGGCACTTTCTTGCAAATTGATGACCTCGATTCTAGAATTTGCAATCCTCCAGAATCACGATTTGATTCAAGCAAGATTGGTAAAAACTCAAACATATTTTATCGACAAAAAATATTATACAGCAAACTGTTTCGATGACTTCAATATAGAAAATAGCTGAAAGTCGGAAAATAATGCTGGATTCGCTCAATGTCAAAAAAATCCGATCATGTTGATCCAGAGTTAAGCGTACTAACAATGCGGGCTTTAAAAGCTCGGATTTAAGCAATTACTTACTGTATTTAGCCTAAGCGCTAAAGTACATAGGTGAATCTTGCAGCAGGGCTGCCGTAGCTCTTTGCTTCGAGGAAGTTAAGCTAAGGTCACCAACCTTTCGTTCTTCCAAGAACCAGTACATGTGTAACGGATCGAAACCCGCTACTTCTAAGTACTAAAGCCTTGCCAAGGCAAACGAACACTTCTGATCAAAAACGAAACCGTATTTGATTGTTTTAGTTGCGACAGAGCTGCCGATATCTAAATCCCTAGGTTTTCCTAATTGATATAGTAATACATAATCAATAAAGCAAAACCTTATTAATATAGTAGGTTTTGCTTTAGTACTGGTATTCCTGTCACGTGATGGCTTCTTGTTACGGTGTAGCCACACCACTGTGTTATTACACTAACTGTGTCATACACACCTATGTACGGTCGCACAGTACTGTGCGACCCGCCCTTTCTCACATGGGCCCGCTCCCCCTGTAGAATTGTGAATATCACATTTAACGGTCGCCGCATACAAGACTCGCGTGTTTGTGACACCTTCATGTTATTAAGAACAACTTTAAGCCTTCTCCACTCTATGGGCACTGCGTTTCAACACACAAATCACCCAGCCTGGCTTATAGCGAGGGCACCCGCGGGCAATGCCCTTCTTCTTCTGCACAGGGTGCATCTGCGGACAGAACGCCCACAGCTTCACGGAAAGCGCATCCCAAGCCTTCGGCGACTGGGCGCGACACAACGCGCCCGCCCCGGGCGATGGATTTACTTGCGAAGAGTTGGAGGAAGACGACAACGAGTCGTACACCCCTTTTTCAGCATGGGATGACGAGGAAGATGAAGTGCGCCGACGGCGCGACGTCAGCCCAGCTCAAACCCTGCCAACACCATGTCCGCCCCCCGACCTCTCAGCTCCCGGAGGAAGTGTATTATTTACAATCGCCTCGACGAGGCAAAGGAGCAGCAATTGAAGGCTGCTCACAGGGCGGCTCTCCTGTGCTCGTATCCACGTTTGGTCTTATCACCTCGTGTGAAATACGGATTCCGCTCGACGAATCCTGCTACTGAAGCAAAAGACGCAATCACTCGATCGTTCGGTGTCTACATAGTAGGGCCTCCGGCCACTACACAAGCTAAGTTTGATCAGCTAAAGTTCTGTAAGCTCGCTTTTTGGTACCTCAAGAGATCATAATGGATCGGTACCGCGCTCGACTTCGAGCTTTAAAAGGAGATACTCAAGTTTCCGCAATGGGGGCTATTCCTGTGGTGCTCGCCCCTGGCGAAACCGCTGCAGATGACGATGAGGTCTTTGAGCGATGGGTGCAGCGGCATCGGAAACTTTCTTTGCTGTCTATCTTATAGTGAACCACAAGAAAGTGGACGTGCGCGTTTAGCGCCGTCTAAGATTTGAATTTGCCAAAATCAAGGCGCAACTCCAACTTCCTGCGTGTTGTGACCCTGCGACACAAGGAACAATCCATATGGCTCCTGAGAGCTCTGTGGTTTCTTGCACGGGTGAGCGTAAGAGCACAACAGCTCAGGGCCATAGCTGTAGCTCAGCTCATGGTCGTCCGGCTTCCCGGGACACTACTGAGAAGCGCGGTGCGCAAGATGACGCGAACCGTCATGATCCTTCTGGTCATAAGCGTTTACGACGTCTGGGCAGTTTTGCCGAAGTAACACCTCAACCTCCCACGAGTTCTCGGAGTTTGAGTAGTCCCACAACTTCACAAGATATGGGGTTAAACCCTGTCGACAACAATGACCAACAAGGCGTTCTACGTGGTAGTGAGCGCCACCATTTTCATCAAGAAGAGTTAAAGGCGGACGATGACGACGTGGTCGATCGCCGTCCGGTGATTCGCGATGCTCTTAGTGCGTTGGAGGACAAGGTCCGTCGTCATCGGCACTCTGCCGAGCATCTCTCCGAGGTCGCCTACCGTTGTGCGGAAGACCTCGAGAGTCTGGAGTACTTTGCGCACCGCTTGCCTTGTGTTGAGATTTATCGTGCTCTGTCGGAGCGGCTCCTGGTCGTTAAGAAGAAGAATACGTCACTTTGATTGACTGTGGAGCGCCTTGCGCCGTTGGACTCGAAAGGTGCTGCAATCCGTGCTCAGAACCCGTTGCTGGTTTAGCTTCTGGGTGGCCAAGCGCTTTTGGGCGCCGCCCCGGCGCCAACGCTTCCGTGTTCACTTGGGCCAGATCCCGGTATGGCTTAAGCAAGCCCATATAATACACTGCGTCGGTGAGCGTCCTTATCGGAAGGTTCAGCGTACTAGGCCTCGCTTGGCCACGACATTAAAAGGTCCAATAAAGTGTGGACCAAGCATCCTTTTAAAGACAACAGAAACTGCATGTGTAGAAGTTTTCATAAAACCAGGTTTCTGACTTCAACATTTCCAGCATTTCTTCTTCCTTTTCGTCTGCATATTCCTTCTGCATGTTGAGTTTCAGTCATCGCATCGCGAACGTACTCAGTCTAGTAGACATTAAGTCCCCGACTTCTTTACGCACGGTGAAGGAGCTGACATCAGCTAGCTGTTCGGCTATTTCTTCCTACCAAGCCTTGAACCATGGGATGGCGGCGTCGCCGGGACGCGAGGATTAATAAGCTCGTTGAATGGCGCATAGCCGGTCGATGAATGTTCTGCATTATTCAAAGCAAACTCAACGAGTGGCCTAAAAACTTTCCAGCGCTTCTGCGTCGTTGAAGACGTTGCGAAGAACGTATTCAACGACGCATATCAGGCGCTCAGTCGGACCAAAGGTCTGCGGATGGTCCGCTGTAGACATAAGTCAACTTGGTGAACAGCACCCTGAAGAGTGCAAACCAAAATTTCCTGGTAAAGCGCGGGTCATTATCAGGGATTACTGACTCCGATAATCTATGTCGTCGAAACAAACGATCCACAAACAGTGTCGCTGTACTGACACCGTCGATGGTGTCCGGCGCTGCCCGCAAGATGACCCATCTTGCTCAGACGGTCGACAAAAAGACCACCACACCCGTGTTGCCCGCCGAGTCTTTCGACAAGCCAGCACACAAAGTCCATACTCATTGACTGCCAACCTGGATGGTATCGGCAAACAGGCCAGCGAATGTGACTGTAAAAATTACTCTTGTATGTGTACCTGCCATGATGGCGCCGACGCCGCCGCATCCGGAGAGGGTTTCACCCTTTGACACGTCTCACACGTGCGCACATAGGTGCTCGTCCATTTGTGCAGCTCAATCCACCAGTAGTGGCAGAACACAGAACTGCACGTCTTCTCACGACCAAGATGGCTAGTAAGTGGGGTGTCGTGGGCCTCATAGAGGATTTAGTATTTCAAATTCTCATCGTGAGGAATCGTAATTCGTGGCGTATCTGATGAATCGGTGCTATAATACATTCAACGAATATCGGTGTCACCGTGTGCACAAACGGACCGACAAATTCTTGTCCGATTTTCCAAACTTTTTGCTCCCGAGAGCCCGTAGTAGCGCAACACATACCATTACCCGAATATGCGGCACGGATCAAACCCGTCACTGAGGACGTCACCGTCGTGACATGAGCAAGCTCATAATCCGGTCTGCGTGACAACGCATCAGCTTAAGCATTCTGCTTTTCTGGCTTAACGAAGTTATATTCTGCGAAGAAGGAGAGCCACCTGGCCCTCCTCTGCGAGAGATGAGGCGACTGAGTCGCAGGGCGTAAGGACGCATGATCTGTGTAGATCACAAACAAATTTGAGCCGAGCAGGTGCACCCTGAGCTCAACAAGTGCAGATTTCATCGCGAGTAATTCCTTGTCGTGGAGTGGGAAGTTCCTCTTCGTATCTTTAAGCTGGCGGAACTCGAACGCCATCACCCGATTTCGCCCCTCGGCGTTTCCTTGTAGCAGTACAAATCCGACGGCAAAGTCCGTCACAGACGACACCTAAAAAACGACCGGGGTCTGGCAAAACCAGTATTGGTGCATGAAGGAGGCTGGCTTTGTCCCTGTCAATAGCCTTCGATGTTCGATGTCTCAACACCGTTCCGCATCCTTGCTAAAGACTTTGACGATGAATGTGCCATTCCGCATAATTTGCGATATACTTGCGCAGGTAGTTGGCAAGGCCAGACCACTTGCGCAAGTCCTTTTGGTTCTTTGGAACCAGCAAGTCGACAATGGCCTTCACCTTAGCGGGATCCACTCGAAGGCCACGCTTTCCGATGAAGCACCCTAAAAAGAGAATTCCTTCCGCGCCGAAGGTACACTTATCGGCATTAGCATACAGCTAATTCGTGCGCATGCACTCAAGCACCGCTCCTAAATGGACGATATGATATTCCTCATATGTCCTCCCGTGCACCGCACGACTGTGGACGAAGATGTCGTCAAAGTATGTCTGTACATACGCCCGATGGAGTTAAAAATTGCGATGAATGTTGCTGGTGCATTTGACAGCCCTTGGGGTATCACCAGCAACCCCCAAAGCATGCCGCTCGGAGTACCCACCTCTATCAGCGGAATATCAATCCATCTCATGAGCCATTGGTGATAACCATCGATCTAGTCGACTTTTACGGCCAACCATATTGTTTTGAAGATAATATAAGAACATCCTGTCTAAAAAGTTGCATTTGTGCCGAAATGGTGGCAGTGTTTAGCTTATTAAAAGCGTGAACGATACACCACTTGCCGATCAGCTTCCGGACACAAAACGTGGGTGTCCAATGGGGAGACTTGCTTTCACGCATCATTTCTGCCTCAAGCTTCTCACGGTAAAAGGCGTTAATGACGTCAAAACGCTTCTTGGGCAGAAACTATTGGCGTGTTACGCAGTATTTGGTTCCCAGAACCAGGTCTATCAGATGACGCACACCTCGGTCTGGAGGTAGAACCGACGGAGGTCTTTGGAGACGACGTCTTGGAAATCCATTACTATGGAATTATACGGATCAGAAAGATCCTTCAGGATCGACGATCCAATTTGTGCGTTTAGTGTCCTCAAGAACAGATTCATCCAAAAGCGACGACTAGTTGATCTCCTCATTCGGTCTTATTATGACCACCTCGGCTAAATTGCCTTCATTCAAGGAACCGCCAAACTCTTCGAAGGTCATCTCGTCCAGCTCAAGAAGAGCATCCACCGCGGGAATAGCCTCGAGGGTGACGTCCTTTTTCCTTCCGTCATACCGCTGAGAAGGGTATACAGCTGTGTACTATCGTTTATGGAAGACACACCCTGGGTCAGGGTCGACACCCTGCGTCTTGCAGATATCATACGGCTTTGCCATCTCCTCTCTATTGAGATTTTACGTCTTATCGAAGACAGTGGGAACACTCACTGGGCGTGGTCCAGTGTCTCCACTCCCTGCTCCAATGGAGCCTTCATATTACTAACAAAATCCAACGAAGAGCGGCTATTTCCGCAGTCTTCGTCCAGTGGATAACGTATCACTCCCCAAGCATCACAAGGGCCTTGCCCAGGATGCCTCGGACCTCGTCCGACCATGCCACGCTTGGCATGCAGCAACTGCTTCGAAACGAGAGATGCGCTCAGTGGGGGTTACGTGCCACTCCACGTGCATCACAAGGACCTCGCCCTTGATGCCTCGGCCTTTGGTCGACTATACTACTCTTGGCATGCAGCGACTGCTCCAATACTTGTGCAGCGCTCAGTGGGTTACGTGCCGCTCCACAGTCAGCCTGCGAGCCACGCTCGGGACCCTTGTCCAATACACCTTCGGTGTTTGACAACTCGGATACTCCGATATTCGTTGACCGTCCCGGTCCAGTACCCGCGTCAATAGTGCTTCTACATCCTAGTAGAAATAAGTTTATGACTCACCAAAGCTCCACTAAGAGACGTGCGCGTAGCGCCCGAGGTCTTCGACCTTCACTCGGTCCATGGCTCTGCTTTTTTTTTAATCCATGCCATACCAAGGATAACGTCATACCTTGCATCCAAGGCTAGGACTAATACAGCTGACTTCCTTCGACCGTGGAGCGTCGAGCATAAATGTTCGACGCACCAGAATTGATAAGGATTTTCTATGGCTTTCACGATCGCTTTTACGACTAGTAAGCTCGGCTTTCACGAACGTTCGTGTTCACGAGCGCTAGCTTTCGGAACTGGGCCCTGCTTCCCTCTATTTCTTTGAGGCTCAACAGAACTTAGTTCTCCCCCAGTAGGGCGCCCCACGCCTACTGGGTGGTATGGTTTCCCCGCGTCAAACCAGACTGGTTGGAAGCAGGACGTCGGTTCGACGAGCGCAAGGGACAACTCGTCCAAAGGTGACGCGTATCTCCACAATAAAAGCACCTTTGGGTGTTTACACGCTGCTCAGCAGCTCGGAGCTCTCCCTTCATCTTCTTAGCAAAGCTGAGATCCATTGGGTCAGGCCCGCTTGACGAGCTCTGAGAGTGTGCATTCCAACCAAGTCGTATCGACATGAAGCTGAATTAGGCATTCAATGCAACGTTCAACGCTTCTTCAAAAGAAGACGGATGCACACGGAAGACACTCATTATGGCCATGCAAGTGCGGAGGCCCTCCATAAAGACGGTCACTGCGACCGCCTAGGGGGGAGAATCTGCTGCCATCCCGGCAATAAGAGTTCTCAACTCTTGGACAAAGTCCCAATTCCTTCTTGCCCTGATGGGCAGCAAGGAACCGCGATCTCACGCGATATGCCGGATTAGGCGACGAAAGCACTCGCAGAAGCTGACGCTTCCGCTACTTCCAGGTAGGCAACGCAGCTTCAACCAAAGCACCGCACATTGGTGCCCATTTTCGCTGTTGGATCCCGAGCCTGGAGATAGCTAGCACCACGCGCTGTTGCTCGTTTTGAATCATAGCGGATGCCATAGCCATCTCGGCCTCTCTCACGCAGAGACGAATATTATCTTTATCCTTACCCTCAAAGGTCAAAACGCTCACCATGAGCGGCCTGGGTCGGAAGGCACCATCCGTCGTTGACGGTGGCGTCATAGACGAAGTCGACTCTGACAGCTTTTGCTGTAAGTGCTATAACAGAGCATTTTCATAGTTTGAATTCGCCTCTAGGCCGCGGTTGGCCTCGGGC